AAAGTTTGTAAACCTCAAAAATACATCGTTCATTTTGTTCTAAAATATTTTTATGTCCATAAATTGTTGTAGTATTACAATACCATTAATTAAAAGAGTGCTCGTGTAATAATGTCTCATTATATTTTTAATCATGTTCCAATATATAAATATACATCACTGGCTCTAATGAAATTACTGATCAATCATTTAATGATTTAAAAGTTATTAATGATTGCCAATTACAAAATTTATTCACGATTAATTGATTAAATTAATTACGATTAGATTCAATATCTGATTACAAATTATTAATTGGACATCACATGACGATAAAAATCGTTATCGCATAACGAGCACGATAAGAAACAAATAAAACACATTCCATGATCGTGTTGAAATTTAGTACAATTTCATTACATAGGTGCAAGATTGATATTCAATTTTTTAAGAGAGAAATAAATTATTTTCGTTGGTCCATTCTACGAGAGAAAATGGTACAATTAATGTTAAATTCTAAGGCAAATTTAAACGTTAATTATAGTCTATGCTTGTCAAATTGATAAAGTTGATCGATGTATTTTTTTGAATGACTCATTTATCGATCTTACTATTCAAAACTTACCATTTGAAACCACTTTCGTCGCATGACACGCACTATAGTAATGTATCATAAAACGACAAAAATTCTATAACTACAAATGTAAAAATTTAATAAAAGAATTTATTTAAAAACAAAAAACCGTAAATTGTTTATGTAATTTTATAGTTTTATAAAGATGATGAAAAGAACAGAACCTAAGTAGAAAATTACTACTTTACCTACTAAATTACTACTTTACCTACTACTTTACCTACCAAATGCTGTAAGAAATATTATATTGTACTCTTGATACTTATAAATTATGTGCATTCTGTGCAATTTCACGCTGCCAAATTTCTCATAAATGCATAAAAATACATCGTCTATTAATATACTACATTTATACAAATATACTATATTTGTATGCAAACATAATGTACCATATTTATATACAATGCACTACAACTACTTTTAATAAGGAACTTCCATTTTTATCGGTCATATGACAATGATTTTTGTTAATATGCAACTAATTAGAAGGCCCAATGCAACCAGCGATTTTTGTCGTATTGTCTCACCGGACGCTATGCCATTCGACTAAGTTTATATTTTTAGTCATACAATACAAACCATGTTGCAATAATCCCACTAATAGGTATTTTCTGCTATTTTCTTTCCCAAAGAATTTTGTAACAATTATACACATTATATATATATATATATATATATATATATATATATATATATATATATATGTAACTATAATGTAATAAACAAAAATTGTTCATTAATATAATATAAAATATATTTTAATGTATTACACACACACACACAAATGTAATAATATTATAATAATATAATATATATATTATAATTAAAAATATAATATATATATATAAGAAATGTAATCTATAATGTAATAAACAAAAATTGTTCATTAATATAATATAAAAT